ACGCAGAGCCCCGGCCGCGCAGGGCCCCGGCCGCACAGGCCCCAATGCAACTTTACTATGTGCATTTAAAGCAGTTAATTATAGCTACTTGAGTTTATGAGAGATAATATTAATGTGATAGTTGATTTTCTTTAAGTATTATTTATTTTATTTTTTATTATTATTGTATTAATTTGACCAGAAAGAGAGAGAAAGGTAAAGTGAGAAAGCAAGCCACCAGGTCCAGGACTTGAACTGTATCAGCCATGTGGAAGTCCAGCACCTTAACCATCACACCACCTGCTGGCCCCAAGTGCTATTTGATTTTTAACAAAAAATAAATTTTATAATAGTATATTTACTACTATCATTGTTCTGGAAGATTTAGAAACAAGAGAAGCCCATGAAAACATAAATATTGCCCTAATTCTCCACCACAGATAACCAGTAATAAAATTTTGTTCTACATGCTGCTATGGTCTGATGTTTGTGTCCCTCAAAATGTATATTGTTGAAATGCTAATCCCCATGGTGATGGTATTAGGAGGTGAGGCCTTTGAGAGATGATTAGGTCATTAGGCTTGAGCTCATGAACAGGATCAGTGCTCTTATGAAACAGAACCAATGGAAGCACCTGTGTCCCTCTGCTATATGAGATTAGAATGAGAAGAGGCTGACGATGAGGATTAAGATCCTCAGCAGGTGTTGAATCTGCTGGCACCTTGATCTTGGACTTGACAGTCCTCAGAACTGTGAGAAATAAATTCCTGTTTATAAGCCATAGGTTTTTAGTATTTTGTTACACCAGCCCAAATGGACAAAGGTATGTAATTTTACTCTTTCTCTTTTCTTGCTATTTTAAATATGTATAAATAATATGTTTTGCAACCTAAAATAATATGATATTTATATTGAATGATGGTATCTACTTGTGTAAATAATAAAGTACCTAAACAACCTCACATTATTAGAGGTTATTTTCAGCTTTTCACTAATAAACTTACTACAATATGTATCTATTTTTAAGATAAATATTTGTGCTCATGAATAAGGATAATATTTTTCTTAAGAAATTTATCCTGCAGTGGATTTACACATCAAGGAATATAAACTTTTTAAAATCTTTTGAGATGTACTGCATTTTGCACCCAGACTACAGATTTATAATAATAATAATACTAGGGTGCCTCTTTCTAAAGTAACTGAAAAGATTTAATTCTATTGCAAGTTATTATTTTTTATAAATACACATTAATGTTCAGTCAACTTTACATAAACCACATAATGTTGACTATAACCATGTATGATTGTTTAACAATGTTCATTGAAAATAGTTCTCAGGAAATCTGTAGATGAAAAAAAAATTTTTTTTGAAAGGTTAATGGTCCCCTGGTTCTTTTATTCTATATTTCAGAAGGAATTACAGTTTTTAGAAATTATATGACATTTCATTTAAATCCAGTACATTTTTCTCCTCAGAATTTTGCCTTAGGACATTATGAAAAAGCACTGCTTGCCATCTGTGCTGGTGATGCTGAAGACTACTAAAATGAAGAGAAGGATTTGTAGAATTACATACTCCTCTTTATAGACATATCAAAATATATTTTTTGATAAATCTAAGCTATTTATTTAAGTTAAAATTGGGCTTGATTCCTATCTTTAAAAAGCAATTGTGGGACCAACAGTTAACATAATGGCTATGTTGCTGGACTCCCATGTAGTCGACTGCAGTTCACGTCCCGGACCTGGTGGCTTAAACTCACGCCAGGCGCGTGTGCATGCGTGCCCAAGATCCCAAGAGGAAAATGGAGGAGAAAAGATTGCAGCGCAACCATCCCTCCGGGGGTTGATTTCTCCCTTTCTGTCTCTCTGTCTGTCAGCGAGCGCACATGCCCTATAGCAAAAACCTCTCCAAAAAAAAAAAAAAGTAATTGTTAGGCCTAGCCTTAATGATGAGTGTCTTCTAGATGCTGTGCTTCATAGGCTAGGACCTCATGGGAGGTCAGGTTTAATTCCTGGTTCAATCTAAAACCAGGCTGAATGACCCACACTTCTCCTCTCAGTTACTTGAGGAAACCAAGACAGGAAAATTACAAATATGTGGCTCCCCTGGGTAACATAGCAACACTCTTCTGGGTAACATAGCAACCCTCTTTCAAAAATGGTCAGATGTGGTCACACATGTCTGTGGTCCTAGCCAGAGGCTGATACAAAAGAAAACAGTGAGACCTTATCTAAAAATAGAAAAAAATTATAATCAGCATTTCAAGCTAAAAATAATAATTGTTCAAAACATTTCACATAAGTATTAGTTTTCCAGCTAACATTCTTATATAAGTTGAGTGTTCCTTATTCAAGATACTTGGGACAAGAAGTGTTCCAGATTTGGATTTTCTTCAGGTTCCAAAATATTTGTGTATACATGAAGAGATATATCTTAGAAATGGGACCCAAATCTAAACATGACATTTATGTATAATCATATGTCCTTCTATACATAGCTTGAAAACAATTTTATGCAATAGTTTGCTTTGTGGTGTTTTCATTAAAACCCATCAAATGAAATCAGGTTTGGAATTTTCCACTTGTGTTAACCCTTGAAAATTTTCAGGTTTTGGAGTGTTTTAGATTTCAGATTTTCAAATTAAGAATGCTCAACCTGTGGAAGAAAAATACTGGAATTTCCAGTTGAAATGTTAGCTATTAAAAAAAGACTTTCTTCATATAATGTCTTTCTTTAAGTAGTTCAATGGTTGTACAATAATTATGACATCCATATTTTAGCTAGATAATATATTGCATTTCTTTGGTACACCATGTTGTTATTAACTCAAAAAACAAATCTGGACATAGGTAATGAGAGAATAACTTTATTTGAAATCATGATTACTAGGTAGAGGGGGCTCATTGCAGTGGGTAAGGGTCATTACAATCTGGGAAAGAGCTACTGCGATGGGGAGATACGGCAGTAGGAAGTGGGGGCTGTTGGAATAAGGAGAATGGTCTGACTATACAATCTGCAATGTCTCAAAGATCAGCAAAAAAGGATTTTTCTTTTATAAGGATAAGTAAATAAGCCTAGAAAGAACCAGGCATTGGGGAGTGGGTATGATTGGATAGTCGATATGAGAAAGTCTTTGGTTGATTGGATAGTCAGTCTGGGACAGTTGAATGTCACTAGTTTTCAGGAGGAGTAGTTAGGAAGAGGTTATTCAGTGGAAGTTCAGTCTGAAGAAGGGTCAAAGTTCGAGAGCTGTAAGGAGGAAAAAAGCTTGAGTAGATTTTGGTCAGTTTGGCGGCTATTATGTTCAGACTGGGGGAAAATGGTTTAGCTAATCATTCATGATACAAAAATGGGAATTTGGAAGGTGGATTAGGCATTGCCATTGGAAAACAAAGTAATCTGCAAGTCTTATGTAAGTTACATGAGAAAGATTGTTTTTTGTAAATCAAATCAAAAGCCATTTCTTGAAATGTAAAGGGCTGGGGGAAATCTTGCCATCTAGTTTCAGGAGCATAGTATCTGAGTACAGTTTAACACTGCCAATATCTTCATTTTTTCCAAAGATTTTTCTTGAATGTTTCATTTAGTTGTTTAAATGCCAACACAACATTGTCATTTTCATCATCACATAATTCACTAAGTGAAATCCTGCAACATAGTAAGTGTTTAAATTATTAACATTGTGATTTGTCCTTAGCAATGTTTTACTGGTTATGTGATCTACAAATGCAGAAAAACTTACTATACCTGATGGACTGAATAACAAGTGTAAAGTCTCTGATAAGAGTAAAGGCATCTCCGATATTTAACCTATATGAAAAAAAGACAAAGTGACACTTAAGGAAATGAATTTAGTTTTAACTTAAAATAAAGGAAATAATAAACAACTATTGATTTGTTGGCCTTTCCAAAGACACATTAAAACAAGATATAAAGAGACCATAGAGGTCCAGCCATGCACTGAATGTTGCTGCTTGGCACACTGAGGCCACATGAGAGCTCTGGATTTGTTTTCTGGCCCAACCTGAACAACTGGATTTGGTGGGGTGTGCCTGTAGTCCCAAATATTCAGGATGCTGAGGCAGGAGGATCATGATATAGCAAGATACTGTCTAAAACATCAAATACACACACACACACACACACACACACACACACACACACACACAAAGACTCCAGAAAAGTGATTATACCCTTTGTATCTACTATTTTGCTATTATCAATTAATCCCTAAACTGTAGTAAAGACACAAATCATTTATTATAAAAAATACTTCTTGTGTTCTTATATATTAGCATAATAATAGCAGAGTTAAATATTTCACATACATTAAAAAGAGTCAAAATATGAGTGATGTCTAAAAATTACAAAATAAATTGCTCCAAGAGCCCATCTCTGAAAAAAACAGCAAAAACTCACAATTAACTTTGTCAGGCTTCAGAAAATATTCAAAGGTTTAACTGAATCAAGTAAAAGGTAGGCAAACTTTTTGTCATTTTTGTTTTCCCCTCCCCTACTCCTACTCTCCAGCTCAGTTTAGTGAAAATCCTGAAGACAGAAGCCTGTATTCCTGGTGTGGGCTTATTTGTCTCTGGATTCAGGGGGTGTAAAACACAGTGAATATTTGTCTGTCTATTCTAACCTGTCTTCGGGTTGCCTACAGGAGTGAGATGTACTTGTTTTTATTTTGTATAACTTGGAATTCAGGGAGGAAAAACAGTAGGTATTCCTTGAAAATGCTGTAAGTCAAATTAGGAGCTTTCTGGAGCCTAGATAAAAGATTAGCTGAGAAGGATAGTGGTTAAGGCACTGGACTCCCACATGGCCACCGCAGTTCGAGTCCTGGATCTGGTAACTTGAAACTCACACTGGGCACATGTGCATACATGCGTAAAAGCCCAAGATGAGAATGGAGGAGAAAGGATTGTGGTGTGGCCACCCCGCTGGCAGCGGGTTTGGTGGTGGTGGTGATTTCTCACATTGCCTTTCACTGTCTCTCTCTGTCAACTGTCAATTCAGCAAGCACAGACACCCTATAGCAAAAAAACCTTAAATTATACCAAAACTTACAGGATGCAGCAAAACAGTGCTGAAAGAGAAATTTACACCAGTTAATACCTACATAGAAAAATATGGACGCTCTTAAATCCACAAAACAATTTTACCCCTTAAAGCACTAGAAAAAAAAGAGCAAACTAAAGCTTAAGCTTTCAGAAAAAAATAAATAAAAAATATAATAATAAAAAATATTGAGTTATATGAAACGTCATGATAAATTTTTGCATAGAAAAACATAGAAAAAATACATCAAGCGTTTTCTTATGACCCAATAAAATAACAGAAAAACACATAATCAATAAAACAAAAGTTTGTTCTTGAGACTCAGCAAGTGGCCTAGTGGTTAAGATGCTGGACCCCCAGATGGCCAATTACAGTTTGACTCCAATCCCAGCAGCTAAAAAATTATGCTGGGCATGAGTGCATGCATACCCAAAATCCCCAGAAGAGAATGGAGAAAGGATTGTGGTGCGACCATCCCCCTTGGCAGTGATTTTTCACTTTCCCTCTCACTGTCTCTTTTTGTCTCTTTCCAGCAAGCACACATGCTCTATGTCAAAAAAAAAAAAAAAAAAAAAAAAAAAAAAAACCTCAGAAAACATTAGCTAGACTGACAACAGAGATGTGAATAGGAAAATAAGAAATAACATTGAAGAAATTACTACCAATGTTACAGAAACAAAGAGTATTATAAGAGAGCAACTTGAACAATTGAACAATTGTACACTAAAAATAAGATAATTTAGATGAAATTACTAGAAATACACAAATTAACAAAACAGAATCAAAAGAAATAGAAAATCTAATGAATCTATGATAACTGAAGAGGTTGGATTGGTTATCAAAAATTTAAACTAAACCAACAAGTAAGAGTTCAGACTTGCTGTTTTCTAAATTCTACATTCAATAATGAGGTCAAACATTTAAAGAAGAATTAACACTAATATTTATCAAACATTTACAAAAGAATAGAATAAACAAGAATACTTCCTAACTCATTATGTATACAGTCACTATTAACCTGCTAGCAAAGCCAGACTAAGATGCTATAGAAAAAGAAAATTATAAGCCAATATACCTTATAAATATAGATGCAAAAGTCCTCAACACAGTACCAGCAAACTGAGTACAACAACATATTAAAAAGATTATACAGTATGACTCAGTGAGAATTTTTTCCAGGAAATCATGAATGATTCAACGGAAGAAAATCAATCAGTGTAATTCACCACATTAATAGAATAATGAAAAGCCATGTAATACCTAAATACAGACTAAACATTTGAAAAATTCCAATTTATGATTAAAAAATCTTTAGCAAACTAGAAATACAAGAGAACTTTCTAATATAAAATTTAGAAAAATAAGTATATCTAACAACATGCTCAATGATGAAAGACTAAAAGTTTTCCAAGATCAGGGACAAACCAAGGATGTCTTTTATACTATTGCTTTAACATTTCAGTGGACATATCAAGCAGAGAAATTAAGTTGAAGAAAGAAAAAGAAAGAAAGAAAGAAAGAAAGAAAGAAAGAAAGAAAGAAAGAAAGAAAGAAAGAAGGAAGAAAGAGAGAGAGAAAGAAGGAGCATACAAATTATAAAGGCAGAGGTAAAACTGTATTCACAGATGACACAATTTAATATACAGAAAACCTTAAAGAATCTAGAAAATTAAAAATGACTCTTAGAGCTAATAAACTAATTTATCAAAGTTGTATAGTACTAGATCAACACTCAAAAAAAGCAGTGTGTTTCTATAAAAAGGCATATACTTTTCAAAAAAAAAGGTTTTTTTTTACAATAGCATCCAAAATAAAATACTTAGGAAAAAATTAAAGAAGTGAAAGTCTTGTACACTAAAAATAATAAAACATAAAAAAGTAATGTATAGAAAACATAAAAAAGGATAATATCCCATGTTTGTGGGTTAGAGGATTTGACATAAAGATGGCAATAGTATTCTAAGTGTGGTCTGCAGGTTGACTACAATCACTGTTAAAATCTCCACAACTTTTTGTAGAGATGGAAAAGCCAATTCTCAAATTCATATGGAATCACAAAGAACTTAAGAGAGTCAAAACAATATTGAATTTTTAAAAAATGGTCTGAAGATTCACCTTCCTGATTTAAAAGTTATAGTAAGCAAAACAGTGTGGCACTGGCATGAGGAAATATCTAGCTAATGGAATAGAACTGAGAGTTCAGAAACCTGTACATCAATAGGCAACTGATTTTTTTTAAGAAGGGAAAAAGAGTTCAACAAACAGTGCTGAAATACTATATCTATGTTCAATGAATGAAATTGGAGCCGTACCTCACACCCAATAGCAAAATGTATTCAAAATAGGCAAACGACTTAAATGTAAGAATTAAAACTCTAATACTCTTAAAAGAAAACGTAAGAATAAATCTTCATGACCTTGGATTTGGAAATGAATTACTAGATATGACACCGTAATCACGAACAACACAACAAAAAAAGAATTGGGCTTTACTAAAATTAAGAATTTTTGTGCATCAAAAGACATTATCAGGAAATTGAAAAGCCAACCTACAGAATGAGAGAAAATATTTGTAAATTATATATCAGATAAGGGTCTAGAATCTGGAATATATAAAGAACTCCTACAATTCAATAGCAAAAAGACAAAATACACAATATTTTTTTAAAAATGAGTAAAGGACTTGAATAGACATTTCTCCAGAGAAGATATAAAAATGTCCAATGAGTACATGCAAAGATGTTCAGCATCATTAGTGTGTACAAAAAATATAAATCAGACACCATTTTATACTCACTAGAAATATATAGAAATTATAATAAAGAAAAAAAGGAAAATAAGTGCAATAAGGTTGTGGAGAAGTGAGAACCCTTGGACATTGAGGGTGGTAATGTAAAATGGTTCAATTGCTGTGGAAAACATTTTGGCAGTTTCTAGACATAGAGTTGCCATGTGGCTTAGCAATTCTACTCCTAGGTATGCGCCTAAAAGAACTGAAAACAGGTACTTAAATACATGCATACATGTACATATCAGTACCATTGATAGTCAACAAAAGTTAAAACAATACAAATGTTCAACAACTGGTTAAATAAATTGTGTATATGCATACAATGGAATGTTATTCAGCTATGAAAAGAAGTGAAGTACTGATACATGCTACAATATGGCTTAACCTTAAATTATTATAGTGAAAGAAGTCATTCACAAAAGATCACATAATTGTATGATTCCATTCATATAAAATATTCAGACTAGATAAATCCATGATGACAGACCAGACTGGTAGTTATCAGTAGAAAGGGAAAAATGGAAGCTACTTTTTGGTAAGTGCAGACTAAGAATGCTTTGTAGCTAGATGGAGGTAGTACTTGCAGAATACTGTGAATATACCAAATGTCACGGAATTGTTCACTTTATGATGGTTAATTGAATGTTATGTAAATTTCATTCCATAAACAATTTTTAGGGCCAGCATTTTGGTGGTTAAGGTGTTGGACTCTCACATGACTGACCAAGGTTTAAGTCATACACTTGGCAGCTTGCTTTCTCACCTTCCCTCTCTCTCTGTCTCTCTTTGGTGAGTGTGTGAGCCCTACAGCAAATTAAAAAATAATAATAAGTAAAACTGTATAAATAGTTCCTTAAGAAAATAATTTTTAAATAGTTCCAAATAAATCTCACCCTATTTATTCATCTTGAGTCATTTTATCTTATAATTATTCTCATAAGCTATAAGACCACAGCACCAAAAACCCTTAATTACATAAAAACATATATGCATATGTATATGAAAAATGTAAAAAAATAGAAAAGGTCACATACCCATTTTCTCTAGTCAAAGCTGACAGGGATCCCTTTTTGTAGAAGTTCAATGCATAAGAATTCAATTGACATTTCCTCCCATTCTTATATTTATTCAAACAAAGGAAAGGAAGGTTATTTGTGCTCACATTAATTGTTTGTAACCTAGCCTGAGGATATGCAGAGAATACATATTGTTAGCATTTTTCTTTGGAAATATGCTTTAATATACTACAAATTTTGATCATCAATATTCATTGCATCTAGCCAACTAAAATAATAACCCATTGTACATTTAGTGAAGAATTGTGAAACATTCAAAAAGCATATGCAATTTCTCCAAACTTAAATATATAATAAATGGCCAAGTAATATCAGTAAAAGTATTTTTGACATCACAGTGATGATATCTCTAATTTATTGAAATCTGACAATTATATGGTATTTTATAATATAATCACATTATATAATGTTATATAGTATTTTATAAAATATTTATAGCATAATATAACATATTAAAAAAAAGAGTAAAGACTTGAATGGACATTATTCCAAAGAAGATATAAAAATGGCCAGCAAGATATTACTATACTACAGTAAATTATATTGTACTTTACAACCTTAGAAATATACTACAGATATTTTTAAAATTCATTCTTTCTGAAGAAAATTCTTGAGCTTACAAGCCTATTGGCCACAGCTACATACAACAGTAATTGTGCTTATTTCCCCCTTTTTAAACTTATACTGCTTTTTCTTACATTGCCTTTCAGTACATGACTATCTGAACTTGACAAATAATACAATCACAATCTCCAGAGTTAAAGTTAAGCTTATCTCTCATCCACTGGTTATTTAGATTAATGGTTAGGGGTACAGTAAGGACTGATTTCATCATTCATTACTTCCCAAGCATGTGAGACAAAACAGCTAAGCAAAATGATTCATATTCTAGTTCTAAAAATTAAAGAGTTTGATACATATCTCTGTGTTATGCCATGTACAATTTATAGGTGTAGAGGTCATAAAATTGAGGTGAAACAAAACAAACTGCCCTCAGTTGGTTTATAGCAGGCCTTCTCTAACCTAAGCGTGCACTGAGAACTCAGTGGTTCTGTGATGATGCCCAAGACTGCCTCTGGCAGATAATATGGATGTTACTAGTCACACTTAGAAAAGCAAGGACAACGGTTCAGTGAACACAATTCACAGGTGATTGATTGTTTTCCTTATATAACTAACTTTTCTACCTTAAAACCACTGAAGCATAGAAAAGAATCCTTTTTCCCAATTAAGAGGAAAGTACCACTATTCTGGAATAAGAGTAAGATGACTTTGTTTTATTGAACCCTAGTAGTATAATTACGTGAAACTATTTCTCTCAAATGAATAAACAAGATAAAAGAAAAATTTACACCAAAATTCACTTACATCATTTATCACATTAATATCAAATAAATCTTGGTCAGTGATATTAGACAGACAAGCGAAAGGAGAGATAGCAGTTCTACTTTCAGCCCCGGGCATCAAATGAGAGACCAATTCGGAGTCTTCACATTCTTTACCTAAAAAGTCTGGTAAGAAATGAAGACAAAATTGTTCTATTAAACATAGATTATTTAAAACAAATAAAATATATTATACTGCTTTGGCTAGATAATGAGGACAGATTTCTGACTATCTTCCTATTCTAGATACTTTCCAAGGGGCCTAGTGGAGTCACACCTACAAACAATTTTACTATAACAGACCACATTGGTTCAATGATTTGGGAATGATTCTTCTACACTGTCCCTGGCATAACATTATGTGATACATAATAAAACCTTTTTATCTATGTTAAAGTTAAACTCAGGCATTCTAGGGACCAGCAGATGGCATAGTAGTTTTGTCTCTGAACTCTCATGAATTTGATCAAGTTCAAATCCTGGATCTGGTGACTTGAAACTCACTCCAGGTGCTGTGCGTGTGTGCCCAAGATCCTGAGAGGAGAATGGAGGAGAAGGGATTGCGGCGTGGCCATCCTCTCTGGGGATGATTTTTGTCTGTGTCTTTCTGGCTAGTGCATGTGCCTTATAGTAAAAATCTTTCTATAAGAAAAAGTTAAACTCAGGAATTCTTTTCTTTTGACTCTAAGTGTTTGGAGAAAAAACACTTGTACTTTAACAAATTACCCACCTAAGTATTCCTAAACCCACTTATAACTTGCAAGCTCCTGCTTTTAGATATCCCACCTTTTGGGGTCAGTCCACTGTAAAGACTCTTTACAATGACTGACAATTTTGTTTGGGTCTCCTGCTCTTAGAAATGAATGAAAAAAAAAAAAAACAAATCTAAGCATTCCAAAATACTTCAGTGTTTCTGGTTCTTGGCCACTCAGATTCAAATTACTTTAGCGTTTCTGGGTCTTGGTCACTCACATTCATGCTTGGAATAAACTGTACTAATTACTTTTACAGTGCTTGGTCATTTACATCAACAATAATTATCAAAGCTTTTGTAAAAAGGAAAATACTTGAAACCAGCAGGTGGTGTGGTGGTAAATGCATTAAACTCCCACATCACTGACCATGGTTTGAGTCCCAGATCCAGTTGCTTGAAAATCATACATGGCGGCTGTGCATGGGTGTCTAAAATTCCAGGATGCAAATGGAGAAGAGATTGTAGTATGACCATTTTCCTAGGGGGCTGATATCTCACTTTCCCTCTCTCTGTATGCCTCTGTCTTTCTGGTGAGCACACATGCCCTAATGACAAAAACTTAATTAATTAATAATTTTCTTTCAAAAAGGAAAATAGTTAAAAAGAAAGTTTAAAAATTGTGTTCCCAACCATCACTGTGAATACTTTCTTCCTAAAATAAATTTATTCTAGTATCTGCTGGTGATTCTATTAGATTCATCAATTGGTCAAACTGGGTAACTCCATGAATTTATCCACTCAGAAATTATTATAGATAGACAACATTTACAATGTAAGAAACATGAGACCAGCAAATAGTGTAATGGTTACATCACTAGACTCCCATATAGTCAACCCTTGTTCAAGTCCCAGGCCCAGTGGCTTCAAAATCACACTGGGCGCATGTGCATGCATACCCAAAATCCCAAGAAGAGAATAGAGGAGAAGGGATTGCAGCATGGCCATCTTTTATGGGAGGTGACTTTTCCCTTTCTGTCTCTCTGTCTCTCTCTGGTGAGTACATATGCCCTATAGCAAAAATATCTCTCTAAAAATAAATTTTAAAAAGGCAGGAAGCATACTACTTCATTGAACACTAGTGGATTTATAGAACTGTAGTAAAAAATAAATGCCATTCACCTATTCTTTAAAATAAGTTTCATTATCAGTTCATTTTCTCAAGATGCTATAGAGCTACAAAAATGGCAACATTTCTTGTATTGGAGTTAAATTGATATCAGAGCTTGATATTAGCTCCATTATTCATATTTCCACAGCAAGGAAGAAATTCTAACTTCATTTCCCAGAAGGCATAAGTAATAGAAGAACATCTCCAGGTCTTGTCAATTTCATTCATCTCACCCTAGGTCTGATGGTGAGTTTGGAAAATGAACTCTTTTCATATCACTCAAATGGTTCTCTCTCTCTCTCTCACCACTTTTTTCTCCTAGCTTCTACTAGAAGTGAGGGAAAACAGGATTTAGCCACTTTTCCCTTTTCTTCCTGGCTCTCTCTGTCTCTCTCTCTCTCTCCCCATCTTGGCATATTGAGTGTATTCTTCATTTCCAATGGCTTTACATTACTTGGCATAGATTATTGAATTTTCTTTTCATTTTTGTTATTTTTCTCCACGCATTATGTTCTTTCTTCAGGGACGAGGGCAATGTCTTGAGTTATTTGTTTGTTTCCCACAGTGTTCAAGGAAGTACAACATACTGGTAACAATTCACATACTGTAACCCCTTTTCTTATATTTATAAAGATATCCATATTTGAAAGTTTTAATAGCTAAAGAGTGCCAATATTTACCAAATCAATAGGACAGAAGATGGTGTAGAGTAAATACGTTTATTTTTTTTCTTTATTCATGATAGAGTTCATGCACAGACATGTGAAAGTGGGAGTATGAGAGAGAGAGATGAGTTGCCTCCACAGGGTCTGGTCACACTATGATCCCCTTCCTCCAGCCCTCCAGCTCACAGTTTCTTGGGCACTCACATGCATGCCCACCATGTTTTCAGGATGACCAGGTCAGAGATTCAAACCCTAGTCACTATATAGGATTCGGCTTCTCTTGAGCAGTATATTACCACTACACCACAGAGCTGATCTTAGAACAATTTTAGACTATGCAATAGTGTGTTCATTCTCAGTGCTAGAAAATATTAAAATATTTTGATCGTGTAGTGTCAAATCTAAGCCATGTAACTTAGCTAATTCCACATAATAATTTTCAGCATAAAATTTACTCAACATATAAATAATTGTTAGTTTCTTGTATATTTTTTGTAATAGTTTTGTTCTGATTTTCTAAAATTCAGTTTTATCTCAAAATATTTACTTTCTTTTATTGACTTTCCATTTGGTTCTTGTACATTCATAATCTTACCTATTTTTGAGAGAGGTAGTTGGTATTCTTTTTTCATGTCAGCCAACTTAGAAATTGTTAGAAGGAAGGAACCAAAGTGCTTTTTAATTCTGTTGTTGTGTTCCTCTACTACCATGGTAAAGTCCTCAGGAAGATCATCTAGAATTACCTATGAATAATGAAGTAGTAAATATAATTATTTAAAATAAGATCAATTTTTTTCCAAAATCCCTGTGACAGAAGGTCAAATACTTTGAATGGCCTGGCTAAAAATATACTTCTAAGTATAAATAATTTTATTTATGGCAAAATAGAAATATAAAAACCAAACTAAATTCACTTGTAATCCTACCCATGGATATGCACAATACAAATTTTGGTACTTAGTATTTCCTTTCAGTCCTTTATATACATAATTATGCTATAGTATTCAATTTTACTGTGTAATGTTTATATTCAATATATCTGGAATATTTCTCCTTGTCATACAATATTATTAATAAAGACAAGTTGTGGTGGTTGCATAATATTGTAACATACAGACATGCTAAAATTAATCTAACCATTCAATTATTGAATATTCAGCTGATATTTAATCTTCCACTATAAATTTTATGATAAATTCTGGGTTGAATTATGCCCCTAATCCATTATGACTGGTTATCCTATAAGAAAGGGAAGTCAGAACCTGCATTTGGCATAATAGCTATGTCACTAGACTACCATGTAGTCGACTGCAGTTCGAGTCCCAGACCCGGTGGCTTAAATTCATGCTGGGTACATGTGCGTGCGTGCCCAGGATCCCAAGAGGAGAATGGAGGAGAACGGATTGCAGCATGGCCATCCCTCCTGGGGGGTGATTTCTTGCTGTCTGTCTCTTTGTCTTTCTGGTGAGCACATGTGCCCTATAGCAAAAACCTCTCAAAAACAAAGGAAGTCAAGAGAGAGAGACATATACACAAGAGAGAACAACATGTGAACATGAAAGAAGAGGTCAGGATGATATATCTACAAGCTAAGAAATGCCAAAAATTTCCGGCAAAGCACCAGAAGCTAGGAGAGAAGCATGGAACATATTTTCCTCAGAGCCCTTAGAAATAACAAACCCTGCCCAGACTTCTAAACTTCACAAATGTGAGACAATATAGCTCAGCTGTTTAAACTATCTCATTGGTGATACCTCATGTCAAAGGTCTTAGGAAACAAAGTTTATGATAAATTTTCTACAGAGAATTGTGGAACTCTTGGCCCATGACGGCTTCATCTATATCCCTACACTAAGAGACTTGACTAGACTCTAGCATGACTTCTAGTAGCATGAAGCCACATCCCCAGAATGACCTCAGGCCTTGATCCCTCACTTAAAGTACCAGCCTGAGAAAGCTCAGTGTACAAGGGAAAAAAAATGTAGTATTTGTTCTAGCCAACATACACCTGCTTCCCCTTTTTAGAGGATTTTTTTTCTTACTCTTTCTTAGAGAGGTTTTGTTTGTTTGTTTGCTATAGAGCACTTGCACTTGCCAGAGAAACAGAGAGAGACAAAGAGACAGAAAGCAAGAAATCACCCCTGAGGGGGGATAGCTATGCTGCAATTCTGTCTCCTCCATTCTCTTCTCGGGATTTTGAGCATGCATGCACATGTGCCCGGCATGATTTTTAAGTTGCTGTATCTGGGAATCGAACCTCACTCAACCAAGTGGGAGTCCAGCAACATAACAGTTATGCCATCTGCTAGCCCCTAGAGCATTTTCTAAAAAGGGCTCGCAACTGTAAATATGTGTATCTTACAACCCAGACTTGTCTCCCGCAAAAACCTGAGAGCCATTCTTTTGAAATGTAATAATCCAAACCATTTATTTTATTATAAAAGGTCTTTAACTTAAGATGGCAAAAGTACTGATACTATATATGAAAAGAATTATGAATTTTATAATATTAAAAGTTAGTTAGGATTGACCCTGTAGCACAGCACACTGCAAAGGGAAAGCAGGCTTACTGTGTTCTGATCTTCTGGCATCTCTCATGATGTTTGATATAGGGTCTTGCACATTGTTATATATTAGATCGTTGGGAAAGTCATGATATACTTTTCTATGTTTTTGTATGCAAAAATGTGTCATGACTTTCCTAATGATCCAATATATATATATATATAAATAAAACTAAAAATGGAAAATTATTGATGATAACATTCATGATTAAGTCACTATGCAGTGTATTCTGGGTGGGAAACCACATTTTGTATGCTGTGATGATGCTGAGGGGATGAATGTAAATTAATTTAAAAAAAGTTTCAGGAGAAAAAAAACTGCAAAAACTGTTTTTCTTGAAATTAAACAAAAATGCATATTTGATGACTGCAGTAAGCTCCATAGCCCCAGCTAGGTGCTACTTTATAGTATGTTCATTCTACTCACTGAGGTCTATGGCTAAAGTCTGACTTGTGTTCATGGATATGCATATATCAGCTGTGCTTGCTATTGGAAATATTTAGATTAATTACTTTCATTAGCGAATCAATAAAATGGGGGGGAGGCATAGCAAGCAACCATGGATACTAGAGACAGTGTGGGAGGAGGGGGAGACACAGCAGAGGGGGAGAGAGATTCAAGAATGGGAAAAAATAAAGCAAAACATACAGGAAACAAGAAATGGAAAATTATTTGTTGATGATAACACATATGTTGAAGTGTTTTATTGAGCCAATATACAGTGTACTCTGGAAAAGAAATCTCATTTTGTATGTTGTAATGATGTATAGTGAATGAATGTAAATAAATAAATTTAAATAATGAAAAAAAGTTACTTAATGTGTAGCCAGGCAGTGGTACAGTGAGTGGCACAGGCCCACACGGGAAACATCCTAGATTTGTGTCTTGGAGCATCCCTGAGCATGTTGGGTGTATGCATGCTCATGATGCAGGCTGGCTGGGACTGGGAATGGATCATGCCATGGGGACTTTTGGCAGGTGCTGTCTCTCTAGCTGTTTCAATTAAACAGAAAAAGAGAAAAAGTAAGCCCTCTATTTCTGTCTCCATAGGAAAAGAGAGTCCTAAATCCATAATTTAAAGGTAGCATACAGAGTTGGCCTCTTCAAATTTGCACTACCCAACCCTTTGTCCTTTTTCACTTCCTTAACTCTACTGAGTCCCACACCCTGCCTTCCACCCTATTCTTTGTTCAAAATGTTCAGATCACTTCTGCACACATTTGAGCTCAGATCTTTCCCTCATTGACTCTCTTTACTGAATAAAATGTTTTCATGGTTTTAATTAATGTCCAGCTGTATTTATCTTTGGCACAGCATCATTTTATTTTTATTTTTGATTCTATAATTAATATAAAATTCCAAGAAGTAAAAAATCATATTAAAGAATATCTTAAAGTAAATAATAATGATAAATAAAATTAAATACATATTTTTTTTAAAAAAAGGATTTACCAAGTTGTAATTAATACCTGTAAATTTTATTGTTGTTTCTCTTGACTTTTTCTATAGCCAATAATTTCATCTATAAATAACAGCTATAAAAATAAGGAGCCAGTCATTGATATAGTGGCTAAGACAACTGGATCCCATTTCGCCAACTGCACAGTTTTAGTACTGGACCCAATAACTTGGAAAATGTCAGGCACGTGTATATTGATGTGCCCTAAACCCTGAAAGGAGTATATAGGAGAAGGTATTGCGGCATGGCCATCCTCTCTGGAGTGTGCTTTCTCCTTATTCCTCCTGCCCCCACTCCTCAGCTCTTTCCTGTGAGTTTACACACTCTATAGCAAAAAAACAAACAAACAAAATGCTAACATGTATTGAGTGTGTCCTATGTATATCAAGGAGTATTCCAAGCTCTTTGCTTGTATTAATTTATTTAATCATCATAACAGTTTTTCAGAGTCAGTGTTACTATAATTCCTGATTTATAAATAAACAGGCCTCTGTCAGGAAATTTGCTTAAGGCCACCTCCCTGCTAAGTGACAGTGCTGGGCAGGACTCCAGGAATTTGACTTTAAGCTACACTGTGGTAACTCCATGTTCACTATGAGTCTCTTTCCAACAGTTATACTGCATTTTCATTTCTTGCCATTTGGCAATGATTAGAACTCCCACAACAATATTTCAAATAGTTGTTAAATTGAACATTCATGTCTTCTTGTTTCAAAAATTAATGTTACGGGAACCAGCAGTTAGCGTAATGGCTATGTCGCTGGACTCCCACATAGTCAACCGCGGTTCGTGTCCCGGACCCGGTGGCTTAAAACACGCCGGGCGCGTGTGCGTGCGTGCCCAAGATCCCGAGAGGAGAATGGAGGAGAAGGGATTGCGGCATGACCATCCCCCCTGGGGGGTGATTTCTCGCTTTCTGTCTCTATGTCTCTCTCTGTCTGTCTGGCGAGCGCATGCGCCCTACAGTGAAAATCTCTCAAAAAAAAAATTAATGTTACTATGGCCATTATTTCACCATTAAATATAACATCATTTGAAATCATCTTCAACATGATAAAAATATTCTGTGTTGCTAGCTTTTCTCATTTAAACAAGACCTTTTCTTCATCTGAATCTTTTCCTATCAATAATTGACATACACCTGGGGCCAGCAGTTAGAGTAATGGCTATGTCGCTGGACACCCATGGAGTCGACCACGGTTCAAGTCTTGAACCTGGTGGCTTAAACGCATGCCGGGAGTGTGTGTGCATGCCCAGGATCCTGAAAAGAGAATGGAGGAGGGGGAATTGCGGCATGGCTATCCCCCCGGGAGATGATTTCTTGCTTTCTTTCTTTCTGTCTCTCTCTGTCTTTCTGGCGAGCACACACGCCTTATAGCAAAAACCTCTCCAAAAAAAGAAAGAAAGAAAAAAAAAAAAAGAATTGACATATGCCTGAAGAAGTAATCCTAGTGAATGACGGTATAATTTTTACTATTAGGAAAATACGATTGTATCTTGTTATAATGGAAAGATTTCACGTGACATTTCAAGGTTATGTTTTTCTTTTTCTTACCGTTGAATAAGAACTTCTCTTCTTTAACTCTTCAGAGGGCGAAAGATATCTTCTTCCAAAAAGATTTGCTAATACCACTACTAAAGTCTCCATCACAGCTTTAGAAAATTTCTTCTGACCTGTTTAAAGTAAACATTTTACTTTCTAAACTTTTAGAGAACAAAACACATCATTTTATAAATATACCAGCCACTTTTCAATATTTAACATATCATTTCAAGGCAAGACACTTTGCAAAAGCCAATTTTCAGATGTTTGGTGATTTTCAAATAAATTACATTACTACAGATGAATTGACTCCTTACTGAGACAGAATGGTTTGTATCCTTGGATCTACTCCAGGCTTTAGGAACTTGGAAAAAGAAATGATCAGCCATTCAGCCTTTCATTTTGGAGTTGCCCTGGGATCCCTCACTGGCTTCCAACCTGTCTTTGTTCCTCTGTCTCCATTCTACCCAGTCTTTCCACGTCTGTTCAAAATCTGCCAAGGAGTGAAGGTCTATGCTCCTTGTTAAGTTCTTCCTCTGCCATTCAAGACCATAAGTGAACTGATACTTCTTTTCTATCTGACACACATTATAGTCCAGAAAAGGATTCACTCCTGCTCACACTGAAATGTTAGCTCCTAATATTGTCTCTACAATATTTATACCCCATATTTTCAAGTGCTCAAATCCTTATAATACTTTAGGAACTAAACAGGCTACAACTGATCTACACTATTGGAAAACTGCAGAGGAGGATGAAGAATAAAGATTTCAGATTCAAGCCAAAAAAATGGATTTGCAAACAAAAATTGATTTGTTTATAGTTTATGCCATTATGGGCACTTTGTTTCCAGTTTTTTCTTCCTTTACACTCATGATACATTGCACGCAATGTTTATATAATAAGTAAAATTCAGTGTGATTATTTCCTATAATTTGTTTGTGAATAATAAAGATTCACATGAAACTCAGGTTTTATGGATTAATTTATTAGTAGTTTTAAAGTCTATCCTATGACATTATTGTAATTATTTGTATTATTTTTAAAATGTTGACAATTTTCCCAAAATAAAATATAATAATGGGATATTAATTATCTCATATCCTATTTCCCATCTATCTGCATTTGAGTTTAGATATCATTTGATTTCTTTCTTAATTATGTTATAAAAAAGAGAAAAATTATCATCTTAAAAATATCATTATGGAAAATGAGATTATAATGCTGATAGTTTCCTATCACTTCTAAGAAGTTTAATATTTATTATCTTTGATAATTCTAAGTGTTTCAATTAAAAAATTAAGTTAACTCAGCCACTGTGTACGTGAGACCCTGTTAAGAGTGTCTCCTTCTTTCTTCGTAAAATAAACTTTAAAACAAATAAAGTATATTTTAATGATCATCAATACAAATATTTACATTATGATTCTCTACATGTATACTGTGCAGATATTTATATTTTATAAATATATTTAATAATAGGAAATTGATAAGAAAACTCTTCAAAATGTGTTATGAGAAAAGGAATTTAAAAGATCTCATGCCATCCAAAGTGAGTACAGTTCTAGGGGTTATTTGAGAGTATATAAATGTACATGTATGAGTATGTGTTTGTGTGTCTGTGTGTGTGCATGTATGTGCACTTTAATGGAAAGAAGATTGGGAAAAGACTATTAACTCACCATTTTTGTTGGTTGGAATACATAATTTGTGAAATAAACCTTTCACCAGCAAGCTCACGAAAATAAAATTTGCAGGTTCATGATAATGTAAATGGGACACAAGTCCAGAATAGCCAATGGGAATACATTCTTGATTCAGGTATCCCTATAAATCAATGTTATATGTTAAGGTCAGGTTCTTACATCACAGAAATAGCAAGTGTCACCAATAAATAATTCAGTACAGTAGAATTAAATAAATGTATAATACCTTAATTTAATAAAAATAAATTTAATTGTTACCTCTGTGACCAAGAATTGCAAAGAATATATAAAGTAAAATTTTAAAATGGACTTCATCTTTGGTTGCTTGAAGGACATCAGTGAATGTTGGAGCACGGATAATGCCTATACATACATATATTAAAATATCAAGTTAGATATTAAAAGAATTTTGTAGTTTGCCATCTAAGTATAATACCCAAAAGGATAAGTAAGCATTTCTATTATAGAACTTGGTAATATAAACTTACATATGTATCCACACACACACACACATATATACACACACATGTACACAAAGTATGAGATTACTTTATATTTTAAATTAGACATTGTAGGGGCTGGCAGGTGGTGTGGTGGTTAAGGCAGCTGGACTCCCACATGGCTGACCATGATTTGAGTCCTGGACCTAGCAGCTTGCTTTCTCGCTTTCCTTTTCTTTCTCTGTCTCTCTCTGGTCACCTTCAAAAAAATTTAATAAAATAAAATAATAACAATGAAATAAAATAAAATAATTCTTAAAAAATAAATCTTTTGAAAAAAATTAGACATTGTATATTGCCTTATTTTAGTACTTATTATCATTACTATAGGTATTCAATGTTACATATTATGTATGTGTAAAATAATGGTAAGAAAAATATAGACAGGTAGATGAATATTTATAACTATGTATGACTAGTGGAAGAAGTAAACATAGGGTTTAAAAACAGAGAATCAAGAATTAGGAGCATTTCAGTATTTTGTACATTTTTCAGTTATTAATTATCCTTTGAAGTTCAATTTTTAAAAATATTTTAGGACAGATATAATTATAGAAAAAAATATAATTTTTCTAATATACTCAGAGCCCAGAGGAAGTTAAAACAGAGAATAACAGGTTTCATTTTCCATATGTTTGAAAACATAGACATTAAACGAATATTCTCATGTTACACTGGGCATATGTGTTTGCATGCCTCAAATTCCAACAGGATGGAGAAGGGATTACAGTATGACCATGCCTCATTGAAGGGGCGTTTTCTTCTTTTCCCTTGTTTTCTGTCTGGTGAGTGTACATAACCTCTGGCAATTAAAAAATTAAATCAAAATCTAAAAAAGAATGTTCTTGTGTTGAATATTATGAAAGAGAATCAAATGTTGCTATGAATTTGTCTATAATGCATTGTTATTTTGACTTCTTTAACTTATGTAACTGATAGAACATTATGAAATTAAGCTGAAATGATTGTGTTTATTAGATTAATGTAAATAATACAAACAGTGTACCTTTGCTTTGCCATCCTCTTTGTCATCTGCTTTGGCAACTAATATCATAAGTCTGAGGATCAAGGACACCTTCAAAGGAAACTGACCCTTCAGTTCAGGCATATTTGACTTCAAAAGCCTTTGAATCTTGGGTAATGGAATATTATAGAAGAATACATTTCCTATATTATCTTCTCCTCGTCTTCCTGCACGACCAGACATCTAGAGTAATAATCACAAAGCTTTTAAATAATTCTAAACTTGGCACTGTAAACAGTCTATATCAAGTAGTACCTTAAATATTCAAAAATACACCCTGAAGAAGTTCTTCCTTTCTCAATATATTAATTTTAGCAAAGTTTAAAGCTTATTTAATTTTACAAATACACCTTTAAAATGCATTTACTTTTTTAGTAAATGGTGTCTCAACTTCTGTGTTTACAGAGTGTGAAATTTAAAGCAGTGACAATTTCAGTCTTATTTGCCAATGTGTTTCCAGAAGCTGGTCTGAACTAAAAACACTGTAGCTACTCAATAGACACTTGGCATCAATTGGTTACTCAAGATGTGGTTACCTCTCCCTCATGTTATTTTTGTTTAAATTCAATACTATTTACCAAATTGGGAATATCCCCAAGAAACCCCTCCAATTTAGCTGGTCACAGATTGCTTAAAAAGTCTTCAAATATAATCATATTCAGAAGAGAGCATAGGTATAGAAACCACTTTCTATTTCTTTAAAGTACTTATGTATTTATTCCATTGACAATGAGAGATAGACACACTTGATAGCATCTAACCACACCTGGATCTGCCTCCCTTACCAAGGCCGTCCAGTCAGCCAGGACCATGGGTATGCCTGTGGGTGTGCCCAGTGTGATTAGCTCAATCCAGGACCCAATTCCTTGGCCTTTCTCTATGATACTGGTGGGGTTTGTTCCCCTCTGTTCATGATAAAGCATGGACATGTACATGTGAAAGTTAGAGAGAAGGAGAGAGAAGTTCACTCTATAGGGTCTGATCAACCTTCCTCTAGTCTTCCCTCATCAGATCTTGGGCACTTGCATGTGCACTCAGAATGAATCGGGTAGATCAGACTGGGGAGACAAAATCCCCTTGGCACATGAGATCCAGCGTTTCTTAAGCAGCATATTACTGCTGTACCACAGAGTCGGTCCTGGCTCCAATATTGCAATGTCTCCCTACCACCTATACTACTGTGTCAAGAACCCATTTTCAAATATTTTTCTAGTCACCAGATGTTTGAGAATAAAACGGTTTATCTTGTCATATTAGATGGATATTGTATATTCCAGATCCCTGTGTATACAAAAGTAACAACAGCAACAACAAAACATACAATATAAATACCTGTCGAAAGTTCAAAGCATCCAAAAAAACAGAATCTGCAGTAAAAACAACAGTTTTACATGGCATATTAATTCCCAAAGCAAGGGTTGAGGTTGCTGCTACCACCTATGGATAAGAGGTAAAAAAAAAAAATTATAAAAAGAAACTTAATATAGAACACACAAATGTATGCATAAGCAATAAATATTAAAGATTAAGTCCACTTACAAAATTTTTTTGAGTAAAAGTCTAATGGTTAGCCAATAACACTCAAAATAAAAACTTTATATTTTGTTTTGGAATAAATAACTAAATCTCACAGAGATTTTCATTTACTTTAATGCTTTTCTTTAATATTGTAATTATCTAGCATTATCAGATTACAAAATGATGTGAAATCAAAGTCATTCAGTAAGCAATTTTGGGTGGCATAAATAAAAACAATGGATTATAGAATGAGTTTAACTTCATATTTAAATGTTTTCTTGACTGTTTCTGTTGTCAGAGGGCACATGTGCTCACTGTGTAGAAAGAGAAAGAGAGAGAGAGAATGAGAATGAGAAAGCACCCCCCGCTTGGGGACTGGTCATGACACAATCCCTTTTCCCCCATCCTTTCTGTTCAGGAGTTTAGGCACACATGCACAGAAGCCCAGCATGTCTCCCAAGCCACCAGGTCTGAGACTTGAACCAATGTCAGTCACAGGGGATCCAGCCACCATAACCACCATGATACCATCTGGCCCTACATTAAAATACTTTTAAGGATAGTAAACAGTATGTGATACAATCAGAGAAAGCAAGCATGTCATATTAAGCCTTAAAAACCTGGCCTAAGGAAGTTAGATATTAAGAGAAAGAGAAATAACACAATTTAATTAACATGTATAAGATTCATTTGGCTGTTGAATGAAAGAACTCATTTTAGAAAGTGATGAATGGAAGCTAAGTAATCTGATAGGAGTGTTGTATTTGATTCTAGATAAGATACAATGATGGTGCTATTAAGTGAGAAATATTATCCTCAGTAGAAAGAATATGTGCAAGAGTGTGTGTGTGTGTGTAATTTTTTTGAGGTGATAATACTTGATAAATTTTGATCATTTAGATGTGCAAGATAAGGGAAAAGGAAGATAAAAATACATTCCCTAGGATTTTTTTTTTAAACCTTGATTTCAAAATACTATTTTGGCTTACATTTCTTATGGAAAACTTGCACCAACTGGAAACTGCCTTATCCCTACCTTATTCTAAAGCTACTTCAAGTTGCTCATACTCCATCTTGCTTCTCTTAGTCCTTTTTAAAAAAAAAAATAGACACAATTGTGACTACCTGTTGTTCTCTAAATCTGGTTTAGCTGCATCACTAATAGATAATGCCTACATCGTTTTTTATGTATCTATTGGTACAATGTAGTTTTTAAATTTCCACTTTGGGTTCTTTAACTCATTAAATCTTAATTTTCAAACAGGAAGCTTTTGTAGTTGTCTTGCTAGACTCTTATTTACTTGCAGACTTTGATGACTTCATATTTAGTTCTTTAAAATATGCTCAAATTTATCTTTATATACAATATATTACCATTTTTAACTGTTCATAACTACACTCATTTCCTTTTAGTTATTATTTCATTTTATTCTTTTGCTTTTAGTTCTTTTCTTCTTATGTTTTTAAATGTGTCCCACAAAACCAACACATAGTTAGATGCTTTATTAATCAAATTCTGAAAACTTTCCCCTCAATGAGTCATTGGTTCATACACATCCAGCATGTTTAACATAATTGTTTTATGTGGTGATCTAACTACCATCTTATACTGTGCTATTTGTTAGAGTTTTAAATCTGTATTGTCTCCTTTCTTTAGTATTCTTGATTGATTTAGGTATTTCTTATAACTTATTTTTCCTCTGTCATCTAGGATTAATGCACTTGAATTCTGTTCTTTAGTGGGTCCTACCAAATTTGCACATTCTTACTTATTTTATAAAAATCTAAAGCTGATCAGTAATTTTATCCTTCCCTTGGACATTACCTGAAACGTTATCCATTTCTTTTTTTAAAAAAATTTTATTTAACATTATTTATTTTTAATTTGACCACAGAGGGATAGATCAAGAGAGAGAGAAAGAAAGAGAAAGTGAGAAAGCAAGCCACCAGGTCCAGGACTTGAACCACAGATGGCCATGTGGGAATCCAGCATCTTTAATCACCACACCACCTGCAGGCCCCCATTCTCCACTTCTAAAATAGATGTTATTACAATATAGTTTATCTTTATTTTTAAATTCAAGATGCTATTTTCAATTTTTGTTCCGATAAAACAATTTTTAATTTACTGGTATTTACCATTTTCAATAAATGTCCTTTCATCTTTTTAAACTAATTTTCAATGTTTCTGAAATTAATTTTTTCACAAATTTTTAGAATTTTCTTTTAGTGACAAAGTAAATGACAAATAACCTTAGTTTATATTTGTCTAAAGTTATTCACTTTGTCTTCATTCTGAAAGAACAATTTTGTTTTGTATGAAAATCTAAGTTCAGTAATCATTCATTTACTTATTTACTTTTAGAAGTTTTTGCCTTAGGGTGGGTGCACTCACCAAAGAGAGAGAGGGAAAGATAAATCATCCTCCAGGGAGAATGGCTACACTGCAATCCCTTCTCCTCCATTCTCTTCCTGGGATCTTGGGCATGCATGCACACATGCCTGGTATGAGTTTTAAGCCACCGGGTTCAGGACTCTAACAGCAGTTGACCATGTGGAAGTCCAGCAACATAACTGCTCCACCATCTGTTGGCCCCTAAGTTCAGTAATTTTAATTAATTTGTTAAAGTAAAATTTCCCTTATTTATGGCTCTCAATTTTGCTTTCAGGAAGTAAGATGTTACTCTAACTGTTGTAATAATCTCTGTTTCCTCAGGCTGCTTTTAAGGTGCTTTATCCTTAATGATATAAACTTACACAATCTAATAAATATTAAAACATATAAAATAAAATAAACAGAACTACAAAGAGAAACAGAAAACTTTCCCTTCAGAGTGGGATTTTTTTTTTTTTTTTTTTTTTTTAGATTTTTGGTAGTGGGCCATGTGCACTAGTGCCCAAGATCTGATGGCTGGAGGTCTGGAGGAAGGGGACTGCTGCATGATCAGATTCTGCAGAGATAGTTCCTCTCTTTTCACATATTGTGTGCACACACACACACTGCATCATGAAAAGAAAAAAATGTATATGGAAACTGGGACTAAAAGAACAATTTTAAAGTGGAGAAACAACAAAACTACCTCAGCCAGGTGAAGGCAATAGTACATATCCTTGACACAATACCATGAAAATGACACTTTACATCTGGGGTCTTCATGCCAGAAACACAAGATCTCACATGAATCAAGAGAAAAAGATCAGAGAAATCTCAAGAAGAGTTAGTCTTTGAAATACCTGATCAGTGAGCCTTAAAACTGTTAAGATAGGTGCCAGAGATGGTGCGGCTATGAAACATGACTGTATGAGGCAATACCACATGGAAAGGTTTCCAGTTCAAGTCTGGAGATTTCCTTGAGGTATGAGGACTGCAAACTTGCCCACGATCTAGGGCTAGCTAAGAGTTAGGAGTTGATTTTGGCATTGGGACCCTGTTGAGGGTGCTGTCTCTCTTTGTGTATCTCTGTGTCTCACTCACCGAGGAGATAAATGAATGAAATTTGAAAAAATGTTAAATAAAAACTGTCAAGGACTTGTCCTTTAGCCTAGTGGATAAGGAAGTTGTTTCCCATGGGGCCACCTGTGCATTGAATCCCAGCCCTAGCAACTTGAAAAACATAACAGGTGCTTTTGCATGTCCCCCAAATCTTAACAGGATGGGGAAATGAAGGAAAATGGATTGGGGCATAAAGATTCTCCCTTGAGGAGTACTTTCTTCCCCTCTCTCTTTCTCTGGAGAGCACATGTGCCCTCTGGCAATTAAAAAAATTCAGCGATATAGTTCTAGAGCCTTGATATTACTTTTCCTCTTTGAAACAGTTATTTCACTTTGCATTATAAGTTAACCCTATTGGGGGCCAGTGCTGGACTCCTACATGGGTGACCACAGTTCAAATCCTGGACCTGTCAGCTTGCTTTCTCACTTTCCCTCTCTCATTCTCTCTCTCTCTTTCTCTCCCTCTTTGTCTCTCTCTCTGTCCCTTCCTGGTCAAATTAAAATAAGTAACAAACTAAAGTTAAATAAAAATAATTCTTTAAAAATAAAGTTAACCCTATCAATAATCAGAAATATTAATATGTTCATAAACAAAAAAATTTAACATTAGCAGAATGTTCAAGGGAATTATATGTGTATATTATGATACACTCATAAAATGTTTATTATATAATGCTAATTAATAAGGTACTTAATTATGTACTGTTAGGAAAAAAGATATGACCCCCCAAATTATTATATTAATTATGTAAAAATGTATATGAAAGAATGGTAAAATATGCTAAGAGTATGCCTCTAAATGGAGGCATTATGGTGGTGAGGGGATGGAGTGTCTTCTCTATAAACTGTCAAGGTACACGTCTTGCTACTCAGTCCAAAGGGAGAAATAAAGGCACTGATTTTAGGAAAGTTATCTTCAAAGTTCACCAACCTGAACATGCCCCAATCTGAAAAGCATCTCTACGACTTGTCTTTTTTTATATTCCATTGCCCCGTGATGATATCCAATGCCCCGGTGTAATAGTTTGAACAGTTTGTAGCCTTGTCTTGTTTCACACAGTCTGGATAAGATCTTCCTTAAAGTCTGAAATACTCAAACAAAGAATTTTCAATACCAAAGAATTTACTCTTCAGCTTAACAATGACTTTATGTGTTAAAAGACTGTTTAGAAATCAACGCAGAGTTAGACACACTTCTTTTTATTTTTAATTTTTAAAAACATTATTGTTTAATTGTATTAATTATTATTATTATTTTGTTAGTGCACATGCATTCACCAAAGAGAGGCAGACAGAGAGCAAAAGTGAGAAAGCAAGCTGCTAGGCCCAGGACTCGAACTGTTGTCAGCCATGTGAGAGTCCAGCTGCTTAACCACCACGCCACTTGCCAACCTGAGTTAGATATGCTTCTAAAAGGAGTAATTGTGTTTTAGATCAGAATATGAGGCCTATTTGACAGATAAAATGCCTGATACATAATATCCAGGTAGAATAGTTTCACACCCTGGCATTCATGCTTGATATCTGAATCAGTAGAGTGCAATCCAACTTCAGATGTGATGATGCTTTCTTCATCCTTTTTCCTCATTGGGAAAATGCACCCCACTTTCTCCCCTATATCCACCACATAAGGGAGCTCAGCCTCATTTCCAGAGTATATTTAATCACAGGTAACAATTATAATGGACTGAACTCCAGGCTCCACCTCAGCTTGAGATGATGGTGAAAAACTGAAAAGAAAACGTTAGAATTCTAAGAGGTGGATCATTACATCAGGGCTAGTGTGCCTTGATGCTAGTACCAAAACCCATTCCTATGCCTGACAGTTCTCAGCTTAGTCCGATTATCTACCAGAACCATCTTGCTCTGTTTGGGCTGTTTATCTGAAACTAATTTATTATATTGTATTTTCCCCTCTCTTCTTTTCTTTCTTTCTTTCTCTTTTTTCTTTTTTTTTTGGTTTTCATTATCATTCTAAATTATATCTTACCAGTGCCGTTCTCTCTCCCTCTTTCTTTGTGCCTTGCTGTCTGTGTTTGTACCTTTGTGCCCATCACTTCCAGTTTTCCCTCTCATCTCTCTCTCTTCTCTCTCTCTATAGCTTTTTCTCTTTCTCTGAAACACCTTACATCTGTTTTTGAACAGTTTTCTGCCTCTCTCTGTCAGTCACCATTATTTTTATTTCTCTGCCTATTTTCTAATACTCTTTTCCCTTTTCTTCCTTTTTTTCTCTTTGTCAGTGTGCTTCCCTTTTCCCCCCACAACTACTATACCTTAAGGAAATTAAAAATATATATGTACAAGTAATAACCATGGGTTCCTGACTACATTAATGACTATGTCCACAGCATTTTATGAGCTCCGATTGTTTAGAAGCACATTAGTATTCCATGCTTAAGCTTTTGAATAATATATGGGGTATGGGTTAAGACAATAAAATGATATATGGAGTAAGGGAGAACTGTAAGACAATAAAAAGTCAACTGCTTCCAGTTTTTAGAATGAGGAACATGATGAATGGGGCTATACCATCAGTTTCAGAAAATGAGAGGAAGAGTTTTCAGAAGGAAGACAAAAACCAATTTTGATTCTTGTAACAATATGCTACTTAAGCCTGTAGCCCAGAAATTAGTTTTTACATTTAAATCTATGTGTATGTTCATATGAAGGAATAGTTATAATGAACTTCAATAAGTAAAGGTAATTTTACAAGACAAAACGTTTTAGATGTTAGAAATTTACCTGGGCATAAGTCTCTAAACTGCTTTTAATAGCTCCATAAGCTTAAACAGATCTTAATTTTGGGGGACTGGCAGGTGGCATGGTAGTTAAGGGCCCTTGACTCCCACATGTCTGACTGCAGTTTGAGTCCCAGACCTGGTGGCTTCCTCTCTCTCTCTCTCTCTTTCCCCCTCTCCCTCTCTCTTTCCCCACTCTGGTCAAATTAAAATAAATAAATTAATTTTATTAAATTAAATAATTTTTAAAAAACCCAGATTATATTAATTTCTCTAACTTCCAACTTTAACTTATTATCTATTATTTCTAAATTAGTTTAAATTAAGCATATTATGAGTTTTGTAAACTGTATAGCACAGTATGGACATATACACATATTGTTATGGACTTACTTATGTCTCCCCAAAAATCATACTTTGAAATACTAGCCCCCAGTACTTCAAAATATGACTATATTCAGTGATAGGATCTTTTACAGAGTTAATTAAGTTAAACTAAAATCATTAGGGTGGGTTCTATTCCAATATGACTGTTGTCCTAAAAAGAAGGGGAGATTAAGACCAGCAGATGGCACAGCAATTACAAAACTGGACTCCCACACAGCTGACCGCTCTTTGAGTCCCAGACCCAGTGAGTTGAAACTCATGCCAGGTACATGTGCCATGCATGCCCAAGATCCTGGGAGGAGAAAGGAAGAGAAGGAATTGTGGCGTGGTCAGCCCTCCTTGGAAGTGATTTCCTGCTCTCCCTCTCACTGTCTGTCTCTCATTCTCCAGTAAGCACACTAGCCCTATGGCAAAAACCTCTAAAGTTGGCAGGGGTGGAGATTTAGACAGATATATACAAGGGAAGATGGTGTGAAATAGAGAGAGAAGACATTTATTTACAAGGCTAAAAGAAAGAGACCCAGAACATATACTTCCCTCAGAGCGCTCAGAAAGAACAAACTCTGAAGATGTATTATCTCAGTCTTCCAGGCTCCAAAAGTATTAAAAACTGTTTCTTAAACTACCTAATCTATAGTACTTTGTAGGAAAAACCTTAACAACTAATATATACAGTCAAATGTATCCCCTTGGGAACCAGCAGTTAGCGTAATGACTATGTCCTGGACTCCCACGTAGTTGACCATGGTTCATGTCCCAGACCCGGTGGCTTAAAACTCACGCCGGGCGCGTGTGCATGCGTACTCAAGATCCCGAGAGGAGAATGGAGGAGAAGGGATTGCGGCGTGACCATTCCCCCTGGGGGATGATTTCTCGCTTTCTATCTCTATGTCTCTCTCTGTCCGTCTGGCGAGCGCATGCACCCTTTAGCGAAAAATCTCTCCAAAAAAAAATGTAGCCCCTTTTCTTTTCTCTTACCTTATAATCCACAGTTTGATGACCAGCATAAGTACAGTCTGCAGGAACCTTATAATATTTTTCAATGTTTTGCTCTATTTCAGCCTCCAATGAAGTCATTCTTTGAATTCTATCAGTTGAATCTGATTTTGAATCACTGAATATAAAATATAATAAAAATCAATAAATATGTTAGTTATAACATGCTCCTTTATTTTTTAAATTTGAAGTTATGTCCATAAATACTAGGCAAATTAAGCATAGACCAAACGTTGCCCCCTTAGAGGAAATTCATGGGACATTAATTACTTCAATTTATGCTTATCGTTTTCTCACTTAAGTATATTTTAAATGTATGCATTAACTGTACTTAACAGACCAGCAGACGATGTGGTGGTTATGGCACTGCATCCACATGGTCAACTTGGTGGTTTGAGCTCCAGACCCAGCGGCTTGGAAAATCACCTTGGGCACATGTCTCTGCATGCCCAAAATCCTAGCAAGAGAAGGGATTGTGATACTATCACTCCCCCTGGGGAGTGATTTCTAACTTTCCCTGTTTCTGTGTCTCTCTCTGTTTCTCCCCAGAAAGCATGCACAACCTATGGCATAAATTTAAAAACAAAGACAAACAAAAATACCAAAAAAGTTAAAATAACAACATTATGAGGCCCACCTGAATATCAACCCAGCATCAAGTCTGGTCATCTGTGGACTCGAGCTTCAGGCCCATACTCAGATCCTACAAGTCAGCCCATGTGCCAACCCTACCGGGTTGCCCATTCTTCACCAACTGATGAAGAAATGTTTCTGCCAAAGCCAGCATGTAAAACTAGAAGAGGCAACTGCTTCTTCAAATGCACACCAACATGAGGCTATGAGTATTAACAAGGAACAGGGTAACCTAATCACTAAGGGAACAAAATAAAGTTCTAGTAGCAGACCTTAAATAAATAGAACCTACAAAGAGCCTGAAAAGTTTTAAAATCATCTTAAACTTGTTTAAACAAGTTCAGTGAGCTAAGAGATAACACAGACAACTGAACAAATTAGAAAATCAATATATAAACAACATGAGAACGTCAACAAAGAGACGGAAACCATAGAAAACATACCAAACAAATTCTGGGCCTAAGGAAAACAGGGATAGAACTGAAAAAATTAATAGAGAGTTCCAAAAATTTTCAATTAAATGGAATAATCAGCAAATTCAAATACAGGATTTGAAATGATCTAGTCTGAGAAACAAAAGGAAAAAGGAATGAAAAGTATAAAGAATGCCTATCCAGTGAACCAATATAAACATTATGGGAAATTTAAAATGCAAGAGAAAGACAAAGGGACCAAACATTTATTTAAAGAAATATTGGCTGAAATATTCCTAGAAGAAATAAAATGGATATCTAAATTTGAGAAGCTCATGGACCCAAACAGATGGAATCTAAAGGTCTATACTGAGACACATACAATTAAATAGACAAAAAACAAAAACAAGAATTTGAAAAAAGTGAGAAAAGGTAACATCATATACAGAGCCCACCATCTACCATTCGTAAGATTATCATCAGATTTCTTGGCAGAAACCTTGCAGGCTAGAAAAAGTGGGCTAATATGTTTAAAGCACTGAAAGAAAAAATACCTGCAAACCAAGAATATTACACCTGTCAAATATATACCTTAAAAATGATGGGGGTTGGAACTAGCAGTTAGTGTAATGGCTATGTCGCTGGACTCCCGCATAGTCGACCACGGTTCACGTCCCAGATCCTGTGGCTTAAAACACATGTGCGTGCGTGCCCAAGATCTCGAGAGGAGAATAGAGGAGAAGGGATTGCGGCGTGACCATCCCCCCTGGAGGGGTGATTTCTCGCTTTCTGTCTCTACGTCTCTCTCTGTCTGTCTGGCGAGCACACACGCCCTATAGTGAAAAAAACCTCTCCAGAAAAAAATGATGGGGGGATGAGGCCTGCAGGTGACGTGGTGGTTAAGGCCACTGAACTCCCACATGGCCAACCGTGGTTTGAATCCTGGACCTGGTGGCGCTTGCTTCTCTGTCCCTTTCTGGGTCCCTTTCTGGTCAAATTAAAAGAAACAAAGTTAAAATTAAAAAAAAATTTAAATGATTCAGGTGGTGTAGTAGTTAAGGCACTGGACTCAAACCTGGCTAGTTATGGTTCAAGCTCTGGACCCAGAGGATTTCAAATCACACATCACATTGGGCACATATGTGTGCATGCCCAAAATTCCAAGAGCAGAAAAGGGAAGGGAGATTGCAGTGTGGTCAGCTCCCCTGGGAGGTGATTTCTCATTCTCTCTCTCTCTCTCTCTCTCTCTCTCTCTCTCTGTCTCTTTCCAACAAGCTCACATATCCCATGGCAAAAACAATAAAAGCATAAAAAAGGGGGAAAATAATGGAGGATTGGATTACGATAGAATGGGATCACCAAATCTCTTCTCCTTCACAGTAAAAGCAGAAGACAGTAATTGCTCAGACACATTTTTACTGAATTTCTTAACAAGAACATTTGAAACCATCAAGGAAAGATCTGAAGGTTTTTGCCTTAGGGCATTTGTCCTTGCTAGAAAGAGAGACAGAGACAGAAACAGAGACAGTGAGAGGGAAAGTGGAAAGTCATCTCCCTGGGGGGATGACCACACCACCATCCCTTCTCCATTCTCCTCCTGGGATCTTGGGCTCACACATACACACAGGCCTGGCATGATTTTCAAGCTACTGAGTCTGGGATTCAGAGTAGTCAGCCATGTAGGAGTCTAGTGACATAATCACAACACCATCTGCTGGCCCCCTGAAGTTTTCTGAAACCTGAAAAATTAAAGCATCAAAAGGGAACCTAGATCACAGCCAGCTGAAATCAATAGGCTGGAACCAGCAGAAACTTCTCTTTGTTGGGAAAAAGTGAGCAAAAAATCCCTAAGAGTCTTTGATATCCCAGTAGATGGCACTTCTAGCTACCTGGCAGTCCAGGATACTGCATGGCCTCAGACCCAGAAAGTGGAAGTTTCTGAGATTAACAGAGCTGTCTATCTCCATAGAAGGAGCTCTCCTGGTTGACCCCAACTCCTAGAACCCAAATTCTGCAAAGTAGTGCACTTTGGGAAACAAGCAACTGCTAGAGGAAAACTGGCACCAAAACCCAACACCTCACAAATTTCAAATCCCCAAGAATCCACTGCACTCTTACCTTGCTAATGTAGGCAGCTGCAGGAACTGCCCCCATTACACTGAACCATAGGGCTATAATCCCAGCACACAATTTTACGAATCATCATAATCTCTGGAGCACAACTAGCATAATGGGAAGGACTGCTTCAAGGAACAGGCAGATAAACTTGGAAGCTCCTCTACTGAGCCCAGCTCACACTGTAGCTTCGGGACATGGCCCCTTCCCCTGGAGGGGCCCTCCAGTCTCTGCTTTAATAGCCTCTGGCTTTCCTGGGCCCACCTCATGCAGCATCTTTAGTGTGCAATACCTTCCCCACAATTGGACACTTTAACCTTAGTGGCCCCAGTCTACAGCTTGCCATGGGCTTAACTCATATCATAGTTCACGTTTGTGGTCTCTGCCTTCTGTAGGGGGGTTCTCTAACCTCAGCCCCCATATTTCCTGGCTTACATGGAGCCCAGCTCATGTGGCGGCTTGAACACACAGCCTGTGCCTCCTGTGGGGGCCTTTCAGTCTTGGTCCCTACAGTCCCTCACTTGCCTTGGGCCCAGTTCATGCAAAAGCTCCAGAGCAGCGGCCTTAGCCCTCTGCAAGAGTCCTCCAGGAGCTGTAGGCCTCTGTGCCACACAGGTGCTGGGCCTGATGTACCCTGCAGCTTGAGCACACAAATGCATCTTCACTGCAGGAGCCCTCTGGACGAAGCTGACCCCCATTCTTGAGCAATACTGAGTCTAGCACCTGCTGGAGTAACATCACATGGTTTTCACCCCCAGAAACAGCCCCCCAATCCATATAGGCCAAAACTCTCAGCCCTGACATCCTGACTTGCTCCTTCTTCTCCACTCTATCAGCCATCCTATAAAAGAGCACAGATGTATGCACGTTCCCACTTTTGAGACCAAAATCTAACCTCTATGACCACTCTTGTCTCAGAAATACACCCGAAACAATTAAAAAATAATAAGTTATTGCATTGTGGTTAGTTTTTCTCTCAAAAGGGATAAGGAGAAATAGTAAGAAAGAATACTGAATAAAAGTGAGAATTTTATAACTATTTCCAATACTAAATTTTGTTTCCTGAGTTAATTTATAAATTATAATAAAACAAATAACTAAAAAAATTTATGTTTATATACTTTACATTAAGACTATAAAAACACTAAAATCATGCTTGAGTAATAATTAAAAGCCAAGTATGTTTGACAATTTGCTCTAACTGATGTTTGATATTTAAATGCCTTTTTATATAATGGATATAAACATTCATACACTACTTTCATCCAATTTGCAAACTTATCATTGCTAAAAAGCAATCTTAAAATCTGAAATCCTAAGAAAAAGGGAAGAAATATGTTAATAAAATGAAAATTATTATGAAACATTGTATAGTTATTAAAATACTCCAAAATTCTCTTTCGCATGTGACCCTAAAGTAAGTTGTAATTAAATGGACTTGATGAATGTAAAATGGAAAGAGGTCACATCAAAATTTGAATCATAAAAATATTAACCCAGCATGGTGGCATGCTGCTAAGACACTATACTCTGTAGGTTGGAACTACCTGAGAGAACAGGGTTCAATTCCCTTTCCATCCTTAAAGGTCAGGGTTGGTAACGTGTACCTGTCCCAGCTGGAAGGCTGAGGCAGGAGGATTGCCACATGGTGGCACTTTGTTTTTTAAAAAAACAAAAAACAAACAAAAAAGAAAATATAAACATTTGTATTTTTTTTAACATTTAATTTCATCATTGAAGGGGAAATACTTACGCCATATGAATTTTTTTCTGGGTCTTCATTGCTTTCCATAGTTTCTTGATCAACTTGTTCTCTCTTTCAGGATTTGAATAATTCTGAGTATTTTGTTTATTTACCAAATTAGTATGAAGTTGTGAAGCTGAATATTCCACTGAGTGAATATTGTATCTAAATTAAAAATACGTAGGAATATTTGAAAATTGCATGCTTGTATCACTCTAGACCTGTCTTCACTACTAAAGAGAATTTTGGGGAACAAGAATATTTGTTTGGTAATATTATTCTCTACCTTCCATTCATTTTGGACTTCTTTTTTCCCTTTATTTTAGGTTTTAGCCATAGGGAGCATGTGATCACCGGATAAAGGCAGAGACAAAAAGAGAAAAAGTGAGAAATCGCTCCCCTGGGGAGATGACCACACTGCACTCTCTTTTTCTCTATTCCCTTCCTGGGATTTTGGGATCATATACACATGCACATGTACCTGGCATGATCTTGAAGCCACTGGGTCTGGCACTTGAACCATGGTTGCCCATGTGGGAGTCTAGGGTCTTACCCACCACACCCCTGCTGGCCCCTTTTAACTCCCAAATCACAGTCTGTGTGAGTGGAAGAAAAGATTAAAGTTTGTTAGACAAGTTAATTTTTTTAAATTTTTCTAATGGTATTACAAATGATTATGTAAGGGCTCTTTACTGAATTAAACGTACTTCTTTCCCCATTTTAAGAGTCACCATATTGGGACCAGCAGATGGCATAATAGATATGTCACTGGATTCCCACATAGTCGACTGTAGTTGGAGTCCTGGACCTGGTAGCTTAAAACTCACACTGGGCATGTGTGTGTGCATGCCCAGAATCCCAAGAGGAGAATAAAGGTGAAGGGATTGCAGCGTGACCATCCCCCTGGGGAGTGATTTCTCACTTTCTGTCTTTCTGTCTCTCTGGCAAGCACATGTGCCCTATAGCAAAAATCTCTCTTAAAAAAAAAAGGAAAACAGAATCATCATCATCATGTTAAGATTTATGAATATTTGTGAAAAACATTGTTTTTTTTATTGATACTAGTAGTTCATTTTCACCTATGATATACAATTTGAGTTAGAAATTTTATTTTGCATGGATTTCTGTGAATTCTTAGCTTTTCATCATACACAGTTTAATCTTTTTATCTTTACTTTGCTCAATAAAATCCCAGTTAATGAAACCAGCAGATGGCATAGTGGGTTACATTGTTGCGCTTCCACATGGCTGACTGTGGTTCAAGTCCCCAACCTGGTGACTTGAAATTCATGCAAAGTGTGTATGCCTGTGTGCCCCAGATCCAGGGAGAAGAATGGCAGAGACCAGACTGCAGTGTGGGCATCTCCCCTGGGAGAGGGTGATTTCTCACTTTCCCTCTCCCTATCTCTTTCTCTCTGTCGCTCCCCTGGGGAGATGACCACACTGCACTCTCTTTTTCTCTATTCCCTTCCTGGGATTTTGGGATCATATACACATGCACATGTACCTGGCATGATCTTGAAGCCACTGGGTCTGGCACTTGAACCATGGTTGCCCATGTGGGAGTCTAGGGTCTTACCCACCACACCCCTGCTGGCCCCTTTTAACTCCCAAATCACAGTCTGTGTGAGTGGAAGAAAAGATTAAAGTTTGTTAGACAAGTTAATTTTTTTAAATTTTTCTAATGGTATTACAAATGATTATGTAAGGGCTCTTTACTGAATTAAACGTACTTCTTTCCCCATTTTAAGAGTCACCATATTGGGACCAGCAGATGGCATAATAGATATGTCACTGGATTCCCACATAGTCGACTGTAGTTGGAGTCCTGGACCTGGTAGCTTAAAACTCACACTGGGCATGTGTGTGTGCATGCCCAGAATCCCAAGAGGCGAATAAAGGTGAAGGGATTGCAGCGTGACCATCCCCCTGGGGAGTGATTTCTCACTTTCTGTCTTTCTGTCTCTCTGGCAAGCACATGTGCCCTATAGCAAAAATCTCTCTTAAAAAAAAAAGGAAAACAGAATCATCATCATCATGTTAAGATTTATGAATATTTGTGAAAAACATTGTTTTTTTTATTGATACTAGTAGTTCATTTTCACCTATGATATACAATTTGAGTTAGAAATTTTATTTTGCATGGATTTCTGTGAATTCTTAGCTTTTCATCATACACAGTTTAATCTTTTTATCTTTACTTTGCTCAATAAAATCCCAGTTAATGAAACCAGCAGATGGCATAGTGGGTTACATTGTTGCGCTTCCACATGGCTGACTGTGGTTCAAGTCCCCAACCTGGTGACTTGAAATTCATGCAAAGTGTGTATGCCTGTGTGCCCCAGATCCAGGGAGAAGAATGGCAGAGACCAGACTGCAGTGTGGGCATCTCCCCTGGGAGAGGGTGATTTCTCACTTTCCCTCTCCCTATCTCTTTCTCTCTGTATGTACACATGCCCTAAGGTAAAAATCTCTTTTAAAAAATTCCCAATTAACTTCAAGAAAGGATGCAAGTTTCTGCATAGGCATTTGAAGGACTTTACAACTTGGCCACAAATTTTCTTTTTAAGTTTGAAATTTAGATATACACATAAGGATTATTATGAATGGTTTTGTGTGTGTGTGTGTGTGCGTGTGTACATATATATATGTAAATTATATACATGCACAAATTAAACCAAGCGAAACATGTATAATTAACCTAAACTTCACTTATAGCTATTCTTTGTCTCTCACTTTCATAATATATTACATGTAAGTTTTGGTCATTATCTCTTTCTTCTGACAGTATGTTTCTGTTTGTTTATTTTAGGGAGGTATTTAATGGGGTGTAATACACTGGATGTAGCTTGATGTCCTTTCCCTTTCCTCTCTGTCTAGAGTATCTACAATTAACATTCAGCTCGTTTTCAGAAAACTTCTGTCACCCTCCCAGCCCATTGTGATATCTCCTCCTGATAAAGTCCAAAGCACTTAGGATCTTCATCACATATTTATTTAGAATGTATGCTATCTTAAGTATGAGGGACGGACTATGCATTACAGTTAATAATTTACTATTTTTTGGGACCAGCAGTTAGCATAATGGCTATGTTGCTGGACTCCCACGTAGTCGACCACGGTTCACGTCCCGGACCCAGTGGCTTAAACTCAGCCGGGCGCGTGTGTGTGTGTGCCCAAGATCCCGAGAGGAGAATGGAGGAGAAGGGATTGCGGTGTGGCCATCCCCCCTGGGGGGTGATTTCTCGTTTTCTGTCTCTCTGTCTCTCTCTATCTGTCTGGCGAGCACACGCGCCCTATAGCAAAAACCTCTCCCCCCCAAAAAAAAAATAATAATAATTTACTGTTCTTCATTCCTATGTTTTCAGAGGTGACAGATATGTCTTTCCATCTCGTAGGACACAAACAGCATGTCTTGAACACTGGACTGTTTAGTAAATGTCTCTTATGGCTTAGTAGCATCCAGTTGTTTTGGGGTCATGTCCGCTACCTATTTCCCACTGATCGTCAAAGCGTTAAGGAGAGCTGTGTTACAAATTTCTTCTGCATCCTCAGAGTCCTTGGCACGCCACCAAGAAACAAAGTGAAATGATATGGATTTAAACTCATTCTACCAAAACCAGAGTGACTTGATATTTAGTAAGGGAAAATTCATTGTTGTAAATATGATGAAAATATGATTGTTTCATTATATGTTGCTGCTGCCAGGCCCCATTTAACTTTTCTGTTAATACTTTGAAGGGCTTGTCTTAAATCTTCTCTAACATCCTTTCTTTCTATTAAAGAGCTTAGATGTAGTAAATTTTTTCAAATAAGGAACAGAACAAAAGTTCAATATGTGGTTTATGTGTATACATGTGTGTGTTTATGTCCATACTCTTCTGGCAAGCACACTATATAGTTTGTCGTTATTTATTTTATTTTTTTACTTTATCTTTCTTTAACAATGTATGAAACTTTCTAATAATTTATGGCCCAGAGAATTTCACTCTTCCAAGTCATATCATTAGATTTTTTTTTTGTTTGCTATAGAACATGTGCACTTGCCAGAGACAGACAGAGAACAGAGAGAAAGAGAGAAAGTGAAATATCACTCCTTGCGGGGGATGGCCACACTGCAATCCCTTTCTTCCATTCTCCTCTGATATTTAGGCATGCATGCCCACATTTATTTTCCAAGCCATTGGGTCTGGGATTTGAACTGCACAGTCAGCCATGTGGGATCCAGCTGCCTTCACCACCACACCACCAACTGGCCCTAGCCATACCATTAGACTTTAGATTTTGAAGTATAATTAGTAAGAAAGGTTTTTTTTTTTTCTTTCTATATACTATATCCAATTTGGTACAGTAAGTATGACTTTAATGTAGAGGTAATATTCCTTAAAATGCTACTAATATAAATCAGAGATTATATATCCTTCCTTAATTATAATTTTCAAAAGTCTTCAAATTCATAGGACTTCAAATATAATGCTTTATACAGAAAAAAAATACTCACATAAAAAAAATTGCAGGCAGTCTATTCATTTCTTTAAGTTTTTCCACAAAACAGGGAAACATTCTTTCTTTTTCAGCTTCTTCACTGTCAAAGGTTTGAGGTTTAAGATACATCAGCAAATAATTCACCTGAATAGAATTAATATAAATAAGAAGGTAGATTTATAAAATCTGTGTGATTGTGAAGAAAGGAAAAAAAAAATCAGCTGATACTTAAGGTTGAAAATCCAATTTGCATTAAATAACAAACAAAAGAAAGTGAGAAATTCTATCTAAAAATTATACACTAAACATTTTAAAATAAAACTAAACTTCAGACAACTTGAGTGAGGTATTCCTACAATGTGGTACCTAAGTCTATGTAATACCATGGCAGTGTATTTGTTCAGATTATTACAAATTAATATTGGCTATTAATGAGTGAATATAGGATATAGTATGGCTTTGACATTTAATGGTTAAAAATTGAGATAATTTTACTCATTTATTTGTTCAAATAATATTCTAGATATACCTACTGTTTCACAAATAATATTTTTAACAAATATCTAAAATTTAAAAATTGAAAGGGGTCAGGTGATGGTCTCACAACTGGACCCACATGCAAAATGTCCTGAGTATGTGTCTCAAGACCTCCCAGACCAGGCCAGGATATATACATATGTGCCTGTCAGCTGGGTCTGTTGAAACTGGGGGTGGATCAAGGTATGAAGGCCCCATTGGAGCTGTCTATCTCTCTGTTTCTCTGCTTGTGTGTGTATGTGTGTCTTTATCTCTCTCTCAATAGAGAAACAAACGTTTTGTAAAATTTGAGAAAAAGAAATGTTTGTAGCTAAAATTTTAGGT